ACGAACGAAAAGGAAAGCTCGCAGTTTTCAACTGAAGGAATTCAAAGAGCCGAATTTAACGAAGGAAGGGAAGGAAAGAAAAGAAGAAACGCGAGTGGAAACGGTGTCGCACAGACAGAGCGTGCGGTGAGCGAGACTGCTGAGGGAAGCGAGAGAGCGGCTCTTGTGTCACGAGCACATTGTGTCCCGATCGTGTTTTCGGAGCGTGTTCGTTTAAAACGCACGTATAACTTGGTCGTTGGATCGATCGTATCGCAACGTGTCACTTTCCTCCCTCTTTCTCTCTCCCTGTCCGTCTGTCTTTCTCCGACCGCCTCTCTCCCTCTCTGTATTGCCCTCTATATGCTCTCGTCCGTGTTCCCTCGAACTCCGTGTTCGTCTTCTCGCCGCGGCCACAGGCACACGGCATACGCAGCTTCCGTTTTTCAATTCGACTTTGACTCGACTCGACTCGACTCGGCTCGGAAGTGCGAAGTACTTTCTTTCCTCTCCCCGATGAAAAAGACGAGACTCTTTCGTTCTTTCGTGACAAATAGAGAGAGAGAGAAAGGGACAGAGAGAGGGAGAGAATGAAAAAGAAGAACAAGAAGAGAGAGCACGACGATCCGAGAGCGTGGCGAGCTTGACGAGCTCACGAGAGGATCGCGAGTCGATCCATCGGTGAACGCGGCTTTCGATACACTGGCGAGAGCGCGCTGTCAGGTAACGCGAGGGAGCAGGTCGACGGACAGCCAGCAGGCAGACCTGCCTCCATGACACTGCTCCCGTCTTCCTCTACCCTCGCACGGTCTCTCCCTTGCACCGACTGCTGCTTGCAGCTGCCTTTCCTCCCCTCCGACCGACCCTCCCCTCCTTCTCTCGCTCTCTATCTCTTTCTCTCTCCTCTCCTCTCCCTCTCTGACAAAACCCTCTCTTCTGCGTTTTTCATCTCGCTTCCACTTGCACTTGCAATGGTTCCTCAAATGTTCACCCTCTGCGTTCCCCTTTCACTCGACACACTCTCTCGCAACTCTCTCTCTCTCTCAAAGTCTCTTTCTCTCCTCTGCTTGCACAGTTCTCCAGCAGCATGCATTTTCCTACCCGCTTGCCTCGATACTGGCTCTCTCTCTCTCTCTCTCTCTCTCATAGGACAATATGTAGATAGATATTGGATCCTCTTTCTTCTTCTTCTTCTTCTTCTTCTTCTTCTTCTTCCATGGAGTTGAAGCTGAGGAGGTAAACTTCTCCAGAACTCTAGAATCGCTACACGATGCCGCGGATCGGCGTCAGTCTCACGATTCCGACCGCGGATTTCGAACTGACAGCGTGTTTTGATTGGAGTCGGGATCGGTTGGTGGGAACGGTGAACGCGGTGGACGATGGTTGGCTGAGAGTAAATAACCCAGAGGGTTGTTGTTAGGGAGAGAGGAATTTTGGGGAAGATCTCTGTGGTTCAATGTAACACGTTAATTCGTAACACGTTGTTGATGTATCGCTGATTTGCACGTCGAGCAAATCTAGAAATCGGGGAACGCACGGATAGACAGTGGTATTACAAACATCGTTTCCTTTCATTTGTCATCTAATTTATTTATCAGGCTATTATTCAAACTGTGTCCAATAGCGACGTCGACAAATTGAGAAGCAGAAAATAGCAACAGAAGTTGCAGACATTATTTCGAATGTTAAATGTTAAATGAAATAAAATTTGCTTTTCGATAAATTCGCCTTAATAATTAGCGACAAATATTACACGCAACGTGTTATTATACTCGCATCACAAGTTGTTACATCTGTGAATCATTGTAGTAAATTAAATGTAGAAATCCAAAAATCATCCCCCAAATCATTTGAAACAAGCCTCGAGTATTAATGATAATTGCAGACATCGAATTTCCAAAGCGAAATTTTGAAAGCCTCGAAGTTTCGACTTGGTGGAAGGCTGTAGTGAATGTTCGCCTTGCTTGACTTACGTTTTCTCATTGAAATATGAATTGACGAGCCCGAGGAAGACTGGATTCGCGAGGAAACTGTGTCACGCGAGAAGAGAGGAGAGCGGGCTGGAGTTTCGCGAATTTTTCGAGCGAAAAAGGAGAGTTCTCGCGGCACTACAAAACGCTGTTCACGCGTCCTGTGGCGGACGAGCAATGCAGACGAACAGCTGCTTATTTCACCTGTTCGATATATTATTTAAATGCTTCACCTGCCGCGATGTCCAGATACCGCGAGATAAAGCAGGCGAACGTTTCCTGCTTTCACGACGATACCGCGATGTCGCGAGCCTCTTGAATTCGTCGTCGATTCTTTATTAAAAAAAAAAAAAAAGCATTTCAGCGGAATGCCGAACGAAAACTGATCGAGATCTGTCGTAGATCGATTTTCTTTCTCTTTGGGCGATGAAACAGTAGATTGAACAGTAGCTGAAATCGAACAGAGGAGGCGTCTTCAGCTCGCTGAGAAGAGCTTTGAAGTTCCTTTTTGCGCGTTGCTTATTGTTGTGTCCTCTTTCATCGTATAATGATGCTTTGTAGAAGTAGGGATTTTTCTATTGGAGAAAAAAATTGATGAAATTGTTGATAATCGGATAGTCGATGTTGATGGCGATTTTCAGTTTTTGTCACCATTTCGTCATTAATTCTCGCGTATCTCGCTCGTATTGCAAAAAGGAATGAACTAATGTTACTTTCATTTCCATATTATTCAATTCTTGCGTTAATTATCCGAGTACATTATCAAAGTGGATGAACGAGATCACGACGCGCTTGTCATTACAGATTTACATTTATCGCACGAGTTCACTTTGATTTAAATACAATACTGCTTAGTATTAATTTTCTGGCAGAATCTTCTTCCTTGCGTGTCTTTTCCTTTTCCAAAACGGAGTATTTATTAGCTAATTTATTTATTTTGCCAGCTTTATTAGGAATTAGGTTCATCATTCATATAAAGATCACTCGACGATCTTGCCCAGTTAATATAGGGCTGATCTTCTTCATGTATTTAGACAGTTCTACCCAATCTACCAATCCGATCTCGTGATTTCTGCCACAGGTTTCGAATGGGTCGAATCCATCTCCAGCTTGAACTAAAAAGCTCGGGACTACGAGTCTGTACCATTGATGTAATACTAGGTCTTCGTACATTGGCACCTCGCAAGCTCGACATCTAAACAGATACAAAATTATGCGTATTTGTCGATGTTATTGCCGAAAATTGAAATTTACCTTATTTTAACGTCTATCGCCTTTCTGGTATCCCCTTGGATTTTAAACACCACTTTTATGCCTGACCATATTAGAATGTCATTTTTCATTTCTAGGATCTGAAATGATTAAATAATACGTATAATAATACTATGTGGTTGAATGTTGTTATTATCTTTGAGAATGATAGGTAAAAAGGCAAGAGAAAATGAGAGCCTAATGTATGGCAACACTTGTTACACGCCAGTAAAAAAAAGACACTGTGCGATAGGGGCTGAAATTTATTAAAAAGAATCTGTAAAAATTGACAAAGCAGAGAATTGCTACACTATTTATAAAATCTACTAACCACCTGCTGTGGATAATGATTTTTAATAAAAAAAAAAAAAATGTTACAGATAAATATTAAATAGTTTCGATACCTCCGTAACTAGAATTCCGTTTATCTACAAAAGACTTACGAATTTTAAAAATAAATAATTAAAAACATAAAATATTAGTAAAATAAATGAAATAATTATCTTTTCAATTTGAAACGAATGATTGTTATGAACAAATCACTTGGTATTTATGTATGTGTTAATATAATTTTGTTGTACTATTGATAATTTTTCATATCAAGTTGTAGAGGATTAAGTCAAATGGAGTAAATTTCGCACAATGTTATACCTGTACGATGCAGCTGCCATTCAATTCGAGGATGTCCCACGTGTTCTCGAAGGGTTGAGCCATGATCACATCGGCGAAAGTGATATCTTGAGTTGTCGAATTTATAGGAGCTCGTATTCCTCCAGGATTAGTAACACTAACTGCTGCGTATGTCCAAACAGTCTTGTTCTCTGCTTTGTCTACATACTACAATCATTTAGCAACGCACTTCGATAAATGTAATTCTAATTTGCCTTAAAATAACCATCGCCTAACCATTGATTTCATTAACTAGCTAGAAAATTTCAGAAAAATTCTTCGATCATTAATTCCATTTATTTCAACACGCTTTGTAAAAAAAAGATATCGATAGACATCGCTTCTAATTTGCCTTGAAGTAGCCATTTTAATTTCAATAGACAAACGAAATATTTTTTTGTTACGTACAGCGTCAACCATAGCGTCTGTGATCAAATTTCCAAGGTTGCACTCGTTTCTGCGACATTTATTGTCGAGGAAAACTCTGCTTCGAGCAATCTTTGCTTTTGCCTTCTCATCGACGCTCACTTTCCAAGGTTCCAAAGCCTTCAGCATCTCAGGATCTGGAGAGATTTCTGAATCGTTTATCTAATACTGATTTATACTTCTCAAAGACTACACAAGTATATATATAAAAATTGATTGAACATTGTAAAAATCTATTGTGTTGGGAGATAGATTCATTGTATTGGGAGATAAGTCTAATTTGTAAATTTTAGATTTAAGTGTTAGATTCAAGTTTCAGCTCGAGTTGAGGAATATCCTTTCTTCCTTTTCGCAGAATTTAGTATCTTGACTATCGAGACTTTGATATAACAGAAGACAAACAAAATTAGGTGAATCTCGCGTTAGCGAAGTCACGTTCTTATGGTATTATTTTACATATAATTTTCCTGAAAATTAATGTTTGCGAAAATGATGCCAAGCCAAAAATTACTACTACATCCTATTTTTTATATTTTCTCAATCACATTCGTGAAAATATGTAGAAATAAAACTACAAAGCGCGTAATAAATGCATGAAATCTCCATTTCATGATAAATGTACGAACACTTTCACGAGTCGCGTTTTATAGTGTAACGATTTATTCCCACCTTGTTCGATAGAATAATCAAGCAGAATCGGATTTCCGTCCCAATCAACTACCTCGCCATTCGCGTCGAACCACACCGTCAGATTCCCCAAGTACCTAGCGCAAACAGAGAACCACTCCTTCATCTTGTTAAATAAAAACAGACAAAATAACAAGCAGCTTTTTATCGAGAATGAATTACTAACCTGGTGAAAGCAGCTGCTTGAACGATCAGCACCGTTCTGTTGGTGTCCTCTTGAACCACTACCACTGGATATTCGTCTTCCGGCTGGTCGACGAAGGGAGGTGATCCTAAATAATGAGAATTTCATTGTCACTGAATGCTTAAGAATTAATTAATAGGACATTAAATTTTTTTTTTTAATCAGTTAGTTGTTGATATTCTTCTTTCTCTCGATTTAATATCAAAGTGTTCCTTTATCTCTATCATGGTCATTAATCATTTCGAGGTGGTTAAAATATTTGCTACAAATTAATAAAAGATTGATGGAAATAATATTTTTTAGAGATAGAAATATCAGTAAAATTCATTGATAAAAGGAGCTTTTAATTCTCGTTTCTTTTTTTATATATTTTTTATTTTTCAAAGGAGAAGAAAATTTATTTCGCATATGTTATTATATCTTGTTATATTATATCTTTCATAGTTCTTGCATTTTCTCATAAATACATAAAAATTCATAGCATGAAATGTTCTCTTTTTCGATTCTTCTTTCTGATTGGTGTGTCAGTGTGATTGATATAAAATTCAAGGTTCACTTATGTTCTTTTGTTTAGCACACCTCTTCTTGTTTGAAATACTGTTGGAAGATTTTCAGTAGATAATAATTCTTTTCTCAACAATAACAGTGAGTCATCTTTATGAGTTTACATTCGGCTAGTCTATAACCAAAGCTGTACGTACACAATGTGGTTACCAATCTTCCAGAAGGTGAACCTATTTTTAAGTGCTTCGCAATAAATTTGTCATACTTTCTGAAATCGGTGTTAGAAACACTATCATGATGTAAATATAATTGCATGATACTACAATCAAATTTTGCTCCGATGAAAAACAAGAGCATATTGACGTTGGAACGAAGGAAGGCACACAGAAATTTCATACATTAGAGCGTGATAAGTATACCTGAGTAAAGAAACGTATGGGAGTGTCCACCGACGATGACATCGATCAAAGGACACTTGGCAGCCATTATTCTATCCACCTTCAGTCCACAGTGGCTTAAAACGATAATAATGTCGATACCCTGAGACTTCAATCTCCTGGCCTCGTCGTTCACCGACTCCACCTCGTCGAGAAATTTTAATCTCCCGGTTCTGGAAATTGTCTGGTAATTTGTAAATTTCAATTAAGGATCCAGAGTAACGTTGAATCGCTCTTCCGGTATAAAACCTTCGTCAAACGTAATCGTTTCTCCCGTCCTCTTGCCATCCTGCAATTATCTCTCAGGTGGAATTCTTTTTCACGTGGAATTCGTATAATTAAGATATAACTTACGCAACGATTTTTTTTTACGATGAGATTCTTTAAGAATTTAATTGACAGCGAAATTTTAGGCCGTGAAAAAAACAGAGTTGGATCAGAGTTAAATTATTTGGATATTCAAGTAAATTACTCTATTCCGAAATTACTAGCTATTCCAAATCATTTTATTATCAAAGTTTCTATTTTATTTAATATCTTGAAATGGTCATTTCGATTTGTTCCTCACGCTGCCATTAGATAGAAATTAGAACAATAGTAAAACGTTGTGAAATTCATGAATGAATGCAAACAGGATATTTGAAATTCAAATTAACAGTAAATTCCAAGTTTCATTCAAAGTAACAAAATCTTTGTTATATTACTTTTTAAAAAAATGATAAAATACTTAAAACAATTTGTTATTCCAAATTGTTGTTTTTTTATCTCAATTCCAAATACGAAATCGATGCAAAGTATTTTTAGAGTTCATTAACTGATATTGGAAGATGACGAGAGCAATGCATTTTTTTTTTTTAATTTAAAATTCGTTCGATTACGTTAACGAAGGTTTGAACAAAAATTTACTCTTGCAACAAGCAAAGACTCATAAATATTGTGCATGAAATTGGAACTCAATACAAACGTTTGCCGTCGAGATGAGAACACCAATAACACCGATTTTTGTTCCATTCCTTTCGATTATCGTGCTGTTCTCGTAGAGGCCCTGAAGAAACCACCATGTATTTATATGGATTTTCAGTGAAAACTTTAATTATAATTATATTGCGGATTTTTATGCGTTTTTCTATATGTTTATGTATACAATAGAAATCAAAAAGTTTTTTTAATTGAAAAAAAAAATGGAAATTGTTTCATTTACTAAATATTATAAGTAAATATTTAGAAATGATTATATGCATATTGTTTGTTGTTGTATGCGTAAAAATCCATAATTCAATTATAATTAAAAAAAATTAATATAACTCACTTGTATCGTTGGTTCATCAGTTGCATCAATATTGGTAACTACCACTGGTGCTTTGACCATTTTTAAAAAAGGAACCACGCCAGCGACTTCGTCGTCGAACTCGTGGTTCCCTATTGTCTGAAAAATTGATCGTCACATAATTTTCCCACTCAGTAGCTACGATGAGAATGAGAATTCTACGAATTTGATTTATTACTTCTTATCAAATTATACTTGTCAAAAAATTTTATTTGATTCGCGCGAAATTTATAGTCACAAATTTACAAATTAAAGTTCGTCTCTGTTCACTAAATGCAAAGATACAAAGTGTTATCAATTTCCGTGCGAGAATGATCGTCGTTGCAGAATTATTATTTAATTATCATCTACGAGTTATCGTTATTATACAGTCATCGTAATCGATCGTCCATGACTTTACACGATCGTCACGATTTTATTAATTCGATCACGTGGATCCTCCGTTGCTCTTTATCGGGATCAATCTAATTAACAGAGTGTTACGCAGTCGCGAGCGAAACCATGTTTCGCGTGCCTTTATCGATCAAATTCAACGCGATAAATTCGGTTCCATCGCTTTTAACGTGGAATTTCATTCGATCACGTGAACAAACTGCGTTTCGAACGATCGATTGTTCAATGTTTTGCACGCAATTAAATCAGCTGACTGATCACCAAAACCAACAAACAAAAAATTCGTTTTTTTTTTTCTATCTCTATTTTTTCGCCTGATTATACCATAAAATGATTTTACCATGACATCGTGCGGTAACATGTTCATAAACGTAGCAGTCACGTTCCAACGATGAACGTTGTACCAAAGAGTCCCTTGGTAATGGTCACCGGCATTCAAGAAAATTGGATTCGGTCTTTCATTCATTAAATGATTCACTGCGGTGGAAACTCTTGAGATTCCGCCGATGCAATCCTTCTCCTCGCCTTCGTGACACGCTTCGGATCGGGGCCCTGTTTGCTCGAACCTAGAGAATATTTTTATCCGTCATTATATGTTTCTGCGAGCTAAGCAAACGATAGATCTCTCTTTTAAATTCCACTGTGTGACGTGTTTATTATAGGCGTAGCAAAACGTTTTATGTTTTACATCGACATTTTATTTTGTAGTTTATTGTTTCAATCACCAGAGACTTTGATTGGAAATTAAAATGAAAAATTATACAGATAAAAACTTGGAGCTTTTTCCAATTGCTTAAAACGCCATTAAACCATCGTCTAATAAGTAGAGTCCACTTTTGATACTACAATCACCGAGGTTAGTATATATTATTGGAATATAAGTTTTACTATCTCGTTTTAATAGAGGTACGAATATTCACATTTTAATAATAAAGTAAATTCATAGTTTTGTGAATGAAAAGTGGAACGTAACAGGTCCTTTATATATACCTTTGCATATTTTTGTGCGTTTTCTTTCTTTTTTTTTTGCACCTTCATAAAAATCCACAATCGAAAATTATAGTATATATCAGTATAAAATCGATTTAAAAGTCATTAACAATTAAACAAAACTTGTTGTTATCTTTTATTCTAATACTGGTCCCTTAAAATCCATTTGTAGACTGTAAACTTGCAAAATCCACAGACTCTTTCATATATTTGCAACATCTTTTCTAATGAAATTTCTAAGACAACATATATATATATATA